TCCACGCTATCGGGGCAAAACACTACATGGTTTTGTGTGTCTTCGCATTTGCCAAGCAGCATACACCATATCTGCCATGTACTACGCTAGAGTTAAGCTTAAGTTCCCAGTTCGCTTGGTGCCAGTAGTTGATAATGAATGGATGCGTAGGAATCCCTAAAAAAAGGAGAGAAATGAGAAATTTGGAATAAAGGGGGGGGGGGGTAGGAAAATTAGTTGCCACCTATCGTTACCGTTAACTGCCACCATGTTAACCTGTTGCTTGCCATCCTATTGTAGTGGTTGTTGCCATCGAATCGAAAGGATAGCTGGCACCCAGATTTTAGAAAAGAGAGTGGGTGTGCATGTCCTACTTGCCATGATGTGTTGGTTGCCTACACATGCAAATGTGATAAGACTGTCGTGTTATCTTCTACGTGCAAATTAGAAGAATATATTTTTTGTGGATTGTTGATGCGTTCTTGTTCATGCAGTGATTGAGAACAGATTGGCAGAAATAAAACACGGAAAAAATGAATCACGAAGAGGCGCTGATCCTTGGGTTTCTCAAAGGCTAGAAACGCCCCCTTGGGATCCAGCAGAGTACAGTCAACTCATTTCTGCAGGGCCCTTGCTGCCACTACTAGAGCAGTATGCAGGCATTGGTATGATGCATGATAACAAAGAAAAGAACATTTGCCATGTTCGCGACGATAAAGATGACATTCTACTTATGTCCTACACTGTCATTTTTCGCAGGTTCTTTTGACCAAAACACACTCGGGGGGCACCATGGCAAGTTTAGTCACAGGGCGCTAACATTGACAAATATACGGGCAACCAACTTCAACTAGCTAATGTGGCAAATCAAGGTAACGCATACGAAAAAGAAACATACTGGTGTGGACATGAAAAATAAACTTGCAAAGGATGGCAAAAGACTCACGAGTTATGTCAGGAAAAATGCAGAACCTTCTGCAGCACGTGGCATCAGGCGGCACCCATGTACCTGCCATCGACGTCATACACAGGTGAGTCCATACAAAGTGAAGTTGCGGATGATGAATTAGCAGAAGGAGCATAGTTGACAACTACAGTTGCCATGACTGGACAACTGCAGTTGCCATGCCAGGACAAACTGCAGTTGCCATGTACGATCAAAATGTGATTGCAATGTACAAAACAACCGTGGATGGCAAGTGTGAACAAATCTGTGTGGCATGGTTGGACCACTGCATGTTCCATGTTGAAGAAAGTACAGTTGCCATGCATTGACCAACTACTACCATGATTACAGGTTATTACGGTGGTGCTACCTCGACAAACGTCTCATGGCAAGCTTCACAAATTACAGATAGAGCACGTCAATTTGGTGTGAAAGATCACACAAGATGGGCACATGCGGCACAACAAGGTAAGAAAATTTGAACCACAAAATAGCACTGCATTTGTTTTTGTGGGAATAGCATGTGAGGAAAAGAAGATTTGTAGTAGTGATGGTGGAAAAAATCAAACAGAAAACGCTAACAAGTGGTCATGTGCAATGAGTCATATATTGTCTTCGGGATTTGCCAATTGCTAAAAGCATGTGTGCAGCACTAATGATTGATCGCGTTTGCCTAGTGAGCTCAAGCCTAGAATACAAAGTTTTGATGCTAGAATATACTGGTTGCCATGTATTGGCAGCAGTATTTGCCATGTATGTAGGACTGCAGCTACCATGGATATAGAATTCAAGTTTTGATACTGAAAGGAGCTGGTTGCAATGCATTGGCAATAGTAGTTGCCATGTTTGTTGGACTATAGCTGCCATGACTGGAGAACTATAGTTGCCATGCATGTCCACATGCAGACTCATGGCTTACTGTTTGAATGATGTCATGCCAAATCACTTGCAATTGATGTACTCCGTTACGATAAACATGTCATTCAAGCAAAATCTTACGCTTGTACCTGTTTTTTTATTACAGGGCCTTCAACTACAATCAATAGCGGTGCGGGGACATCTACTGCGGGGAGCTCTGAGCGCACGGAAGACGCGTTCCACCAGCCAGCCAACAATCATGCCGCAAACAATGCTGAGTCAGAGTCGGAAATGGCAATCATTCTAGCAATGGCGACAAGCACACCTTTGAACACAAACACTGGCAACACTCAAGTAGATGAAACTGTCATCGATACTGAAGTGAATGATGAAACTGATGACGAAGCACAAGGGGATGAAGATGGTGGGCAATCAGAGATCATGGTACCTCAGCCACCGTATGTTGGGCAGAGATTTGAATCATTCGCAGAAGCAAAGGAATTCTACTAGACATATGCAAAGTTCCATGGGTTTGCGGTCAACACCGAATACCATAGGAAAATTAAGAAAACTAACGAGTACAGCAGAGGTGAGATGAGGTGCCACAAGGCACAAAGGAACAAGAAGGGGAAAGGTGTTGCGCCTGTCGTTCCGGAACGAAAGAGAGGTATCATTCTCAAGACGGAATGCCCTGTCCGGTGTAAGCTAAACGTAGATGGAGCACAGTGGATGGTCACTGAATATTTTGATGAGCACAACCACAAACTCATAAAGAAGTTCGACCTGGTAAAATTTCTGACCGCCCACAAAGGATTCACCCCCCTCGAGAAGAAATTCATAAAGCTGCTACATGATTGTAACGCCGGTCCATCAAGAATGGTCCAGATACTATTACTCATCCACAGCAAAAAAGGGACTCTGAGTAGCATGCCCTACATGCCAGCTGACATCACAAACCTAAAGGCAAAGTACCGAAGAGAGAGCAAGTTGGCTGACATAGAGGCCACAATGGCCTACTTCGATGAGAAAGCGAAGGAAGATCCAGATTTCTTCTACGGGATAAGACTGGACGATGAGGACCGTGTCAGGAACATGTATTGGGTGGATGGTGCTGCAAGAAGAGCCTACAAACATTTCCGAGATTACATTTCATTCGACGCAACATATCTCACTAATATTTATAAGATGCCATGCGCTCCATTCATAGGAATAAATAACCACAATCTGTCGTTGCAGTTCGGATGCGGGCTCGTTCGGAACGAAGACACGGATGGGTACATTTGGCTGTTCAAGACCTTCTTGGAGTGCATGGATGGACTTACTCCGATGAACATAATAACAGACCAGGATTTTAGCATGCGTGCAGGCATAGAGGAGGTCTTTCCATTAGCAGTGCACAGGCACTACAGGTGGCACATTATAAAGAAGGCTGAGGAGACGCTAGGACCATTGTTTGTTGACCGTCCAGAGCTGCACAAGGCATTCGAGCTGTGCGTGGACCACAGCTTGACGGTGGAGGAGTTTGAAAGAAGCTGGATGGCCATAATTGAAACATATCAAGTCCAAGACAACAAGACTCTTGTTAGCCTGTGGGAGAAGCGAATGTACTGGGTGCCGGCCTACTTCATGCAGTGCTTCTTCCTGTTTCTGCAGACTAC